CTATAAGCTGCCACATTAATACTCAGAAAGAAATCTTAAGTTCTTTTATGTGCAGTTCTGTCCTGATACTCAGCTATATGTGGTCCTTTTGTAACTTTATCCCCTCCTCATAATTACCCTTCTGTTAACATGGTTTCACAAATATTAGAGCTTAGAATATGATCAGAACAATAACATTCTTGTTGAGCCACAAGTAAGACAAGGCCAATTAAATACAATGAGAGTCTAATGAGGAAGACACCACAAGCCAAAGGGACAAATGGTCCAGAAGTAATAGCATAACCTCAGAGGGGCAAAGTAGAACTGCTGCTGGAGTGAATGCAAAAACAGGAGTAATTTTCTGGTGAACAAGAGCAAACAGAAAAATGGTGGTGCTGGAAACAACTTGGATGGGATACACACAGATCTAATTTTATTAATACTTATTTATTGAATTCATTAGAAATAAAAGAACATTTGGGAAACATAGATGAAAAAAGGAAAATGCAGTGACTCTTATGAGATATTATTTTTACTCTACACCCACACCTTTATACCTCAACTTCCCTACTGAGTAAAGAAGACATAAATTATCTTTTGTAGTGAGAATAACCACAATATCAATGCGAAAATTAAGCACAATTACAGAACTCTTTTCATGGCATAACTTACATTTTATAGAACTACAGAACTCAGAGTCTAATGTAGTATAGTTACATAGTAAACTGAGAGCTAGTCAGACTTTTCCTCACTTGTGCTCAATAAATTCAAATAATCTGCAAAGAAATAATAACTCTAATTGCAGGTATTAATTATAATAATCATTTTTAGAACTTTAGCTCTTATTTTTTTCCTAATTATTGTCATGATAACTAAAGACAGTGGAAATGAGTACCTAAAGCAAATGATACTTATTGAAGTCAACTCCATAGGGACTAATCATTTGGCTATTTAACTAGCCACTCCATATTTTCTTTAAAAACTATCAAAAGGCATCTATTGAACACTATTTGCATGGTGCTAAGGAAGCTAGCTTAATTATAATTTCAGCCTCTACTAAGAGAATCTCCAATTTATTTCCAGAATGCAGTCCTCCTTAAATAGAGAAATAATGCAGACTTTAATCTAGTGATAGCAACTAACTGCAAAAATCTCTCCTTTAAGAAATTGGGTTCAAATTCAGTATGTTGTACAAAAGAAATGATGGATAACTTCAAGGAATTTCCTGTGTAGGGAAGACAAAATTTACAGCAAAGCACAATATGAGACAAATCTTAACAATTTTGTGAGTCAGAGAAGAGGGGTAAACACATGCATGACAAGAAAACAGTATTATCAAAGCCAAAAGTATACATGTTCAGTGATTTTTTTTTCAGCTTTAATTGAGTTTATTGGTACATTTTAGGGATACAGTACAGTAAGAGACTTTTGAGTGTTTGCATACTTTGTGTTTATGCCTATTTGATTTTCCAGTATATTCAACCAAACCAGAAATTTTAGGAAGTATGTTGAACAAATAAAGTAATTTGAACCTTTAAAGGACCTTTAGCATATCTAAGACAGGTAATAATACCTGTAAGTAACCTATTCCGCCCTTAGCTCTCCAATGTGCAATAGTAAGATCTTCTAGATTGGTCTTAAATCCATTCCTTCACAATGATCTGGAGACTTTGCTTTTCCTTTATATAATATATTCACAGAGGACAATTACTTATGCCCTATTGGATTTTTTTGTCTCAATAAAGCTATACTCAATCTCTGATATTTAAACTTCTTTAGAATTTATTGACTGTAATTATAACTCTCTTCTCTTTTAAGAAGCTCTAAGTAACTCATTATAGGGTCATTAAGTGGTTCCTTCTGTTTCCCTTAGCTAGTCTTTTCCAGTTTGTTTCCTGACTGTGAGCACTACTAGAAGTCTTCATATTTCTATGGTGTTAATAGGTTGCTTAAAATCTTTAATGTACTCCTCATTTTTACTAGTTGTTAAGGAGGACACTTCTCACTCCCTTCCCTGATTTCTTTCTTAACACTACCTCAGCCTATGTCCTTGTGTTTAAATCATCATTATCATTTAAAAATAATTGTTATTTACAGGTTAATACATTGTAACAAGAGCTATGTGAAGCATAAATGCTAGACATTATCACCATATTGCAGATGAGATAACAGCGTGAGTGATGAAGTGTCTTGATCAGTATTATACAAGTAAGAAATTGTTAAAATAGGATTATTAGTACACAATTCTCATTAGTAACCATCAGTCACAGCTGTAGATCAAATCATACCTTCCTAAAATTTCTTCTCACCATTGTTTTGGGAAACAAGGAGAGAGAGAGAGAGAGAGAGAGAGAGAGAGAGTGTGACTGGATTGGCTATTTTCTAGCACTAGAAATATTTGATCAAAGTGACTGCATATAACCCCTCCCTTAAAAATAAGAGTAAATTGGAGATTTTGGGAGAATTCTAATAACTTCAAAAAAGTTGGTAAGCCGGTTGGTTTTTGTACTTCTCCAGACCTAACGGATAATGTTTATTCTTCATGATAACAATAGACCAATTACCAAAAATGGATTAATGTTTCTCAAGTACAACTTCAAATATATAAGGCAATTTCTACAAAGCTGGAGGAAGGATAAAGCAGTGGCCAGATTGTGCACCTATTTTCTTATGCTAAATAGAAGATAAATTGACTAAAAGCATCAAATTAGTTTTGAATATATTGTTTCTGAATGAAACAAGTGATTACTTTGCATATTTAATCATACACATGGCAATATTTACATTCTAAGGAGTTCTCAGTGTCAGAAATAGCTAATCATAACTCAGTCAAACAGAGCACAAATAAATAAGAACCTCACCTATCGAAACAGTCGACAGATCGAGGAAGGAAGGAAAATATTCTTGAATTGCCAAAAGAGATGTCATAATGTACATAAACTAAAACCTATACAATTTGTTCCACAGGAGATTTCCCCTTTTCAAAACACCCACTATTTCAATAAAATAAAATAAACAGGTTTTACTCATTTTTGTTTTTAAAAGAGTAGGAAAAAGTAATAAAAATGATAGCGATGCTTATGAAGGACCAAGAAGAGAGAAACGATAGCTTAAAAATTAAATAGGCATAAGCACTATATATATATATCCATGAGTCCATTTTAGCACACATACAAAAAGCACTCCTATTTCCAAAGGTCCAAGAGAAGAGATGTGTTGAGTACAATAACTGATTTATGTACTAATGACCCTCAGTGATCAAGAAGAGTAAAACGTTAGTCTTTGTTAAGTAGTAACAGTACAAGCTACAAACATTTAAAAAGTGCTGTAGGGCACAGGAAATACTCTCTAAAAATGTGTCATATTTCTCTCATCTAGTTTAGCCCCTTTATGTGCAGATAATAAAATTAAAATCTAGAAAGAAATCTTTCCCAAGGTCACGTACTTTGCCAGAGACAGTCCTGAAACTAGGATCCTTATTTTCTGAATCTGGCTTAGTGCTTCCTTCATATTACATGCTACTTTGGTTAACACAAACTGCTTAAGTGGTTAAGAAAAGATATATTTTACAAGTATTTACACATAACATGATTTTTTTTAAATGTTTGGGTATTTAAAGGGCTACATGAGGGCTGGAGATTTAGCTCAGTGGTGCTGCTGCCTGTCCAAAGACCTGAGTTTGATCATCAGCATCCAAAAAAAAAAAAAAAAAAAAAAAAGCTTAATGATCATTACTACAAAATACTGGTACAGCTTTTTAAACTGCAGACCTCTAGAAGATTTTTAGATAATGTACCTTTTTTTCTTGTCCTTCTTCCCACCTCATGGTGAATATTATCTGCTCTTGTTTTGATAAGCAAGCACCGTTACAAAAAATCACACAAATAAAACTCTGTGAATTTACAGATATACAAAGACAAGAAAATAACTATAATTTCACAAAACAACTGCTTTTAAGATGCCATTTTAATAAAATCCAATACATAAAAATTCAAATTTTCCAGTGGATAGAATTTGTATTACAAACTGAATTTACCATGGAGATTTTTTTAAATTTTATTGAGTTTATTGGTACATTTTAGGTATACAGTACAGTTACATTCATTGTTGGGATCTTGTACCTTTACATGACAGTTCTTGGCTCTCATTTTTCCCCTTGTCCCTGCCCTCCCTTCATCCCCTCCTCCCCTCCCCATTTACAAACACTTTATTTCCATTTTTTCATTTTCTCATATTTTTTGGGAAGGGTAGGGGAAAGGTAACCATGGAGATATTTTAAGTAAATTTTCCATTCTGCTCTTATCAGAGGACTATATTTACCAATATATCTTTACTGCTGAAAATTGAGGTCATATTAGACTTTGGAAACTGGCAGACTATGTGCATGTTTATGATTCTTAACTCATCAATTTAAACATACCAAGCAAAGTTATGACTCTGGTTGTATATGAAGCAATCAATGTAGGCAATGACACAGTTGATTTTTAATAAACAAATATAAAACAATATATTCTGAATTAATGCAATTATATAAAAACATGTGTCACATCAAAAACATATTCACAGACATTCAGTTCAAGCAAAAAGTCTTCATAGTAAACCCTGAAACTCAAAATCCTTTTATTTTTAATTTCTGTTGCTCAAGTAGTGTATATTTCCTCAATAAAATTAAAGTCACATAGTTCTGATGAGTATTTTCCAATGTTTGGAAATTCATGAGTGTTTTCAATTTACTTTTTATTTCTTTCAAGAGAAGGTGAAAACATTAGACCAATTACTGAGGAACAGGGTGGAATTCATTCCATTGTTCAACACTTTATGAAAAAATACGTTCTCACATAGTCCACTGAACAATCTGTTTCCATTTAGACAAGTTGATATAGTCATAATTTCTCCAGAAGAATGATTTTGAAGATGTAGGAAAAGAAGCCATGTTTCTTTAAGATGACATTATTTTTAGGAAAAAAATCTTCAAACTGACATAGGCAAACTACTAAAAGAATAAAAACTATTCTGTTTGATTACATTGTCTTGAAATCATCCAAACATTCAAGAGAGATAGTTTGAAGATCTTCTTTCCTTTGCTGAATTTCCAAAGCACTGTCCTTGCATCTCACACATGACTGAATAACCAAGTTGCCACGTTGGGAAAATTGATTACGAAATTCTGAGGTCATGAAATAATATACAATCGGGTCAAGACAGCAATTGAGATTTGCAAGACACAGTGAAATGATGTGGAAACATAGAGTGCTCTTAATAAAGGAGCAGTTTGAGAACACCTGTTGCTTCACCATCATAAAGAATGGGAAGTTGAGATGATAAGGGGTAAAACACAAAATGAACACCACTGCACACGTCAGGACCATCCTCAAAGCCTTTTTCCTTTCTTTGGTATTCTGAAGGGGCACTTGAACTTCTTGTAAAGATTTTCTTGTTTTCCATGTACAACAGGTAATAATTACCACAGGCAGTATAAACCCTCCAAGTTCAGCTGCGGTTACCATGCCTATCGAGGAAGCTATGCTAACATTGTGAAGCCCCAAATCAGCAAAGCAGGATTCACTGTTGTTAGCTAAGCCAGTGCTTCTCAGGATGGGAAGTGGCAAACAGGCAGTCCCCACGATGACCCAGACGGCAGCACTGATGCCCACATCATACCTACGCTTCCAGTTTCTGGCTCTGAATGGCTTGAAAAGAAAGAAGCACCTCTGAAGGCTGATGCATGTCAAGAAGCAAATGCTGGCATACATATTGAGATACTTCAGGTAAAAGCACAGCAGGCAAAGGGCCCTCTGGAAAGGCCAGTGGTGATTGACATAATAGTAAATCCGAAGAGGTAAGGACAGCACATGAGCAAGGTCAGCTACAGAGAGGTTGATCATGAAAATGATGGCTTTGTTTTTCTTGCTAATGAAACGACACAAAACCCACAAGGCTGCACTGTTGGCCAGAAGACCAGGGATGAATATGATGATGTAGGTGGTTGCATAGAGTGAGTACTGAAATGGCATTTGAAGCTCAGTGCACTTTGCTCTTGTACTGTTTGTGCTGTTACTTCCCATTTTGAAGATTTATGTTCCTTCTTTAGAAAAAGCATCGGAGTGATGATTTCTGCAGAAATAGAGTAAAAATGAAGTCAAACGCATGTCAGTTCATGTTTGAATGTACCAGTATGTTTGTTTTCCACATAGAAGTATTCAGGTATAAACTTTTATAAATTTAAAAGGATTTGTCTCTGTATCCTGAAAATATCTCAGTCTGCAAAGGGATAGCAATAGTGCAGAAAGTACTTTATGGAATAAAAAAAAAATTAGCAAAAAAAACAATCAAGTTTTCACCTTAAGAGAAAGTAATTAAACTTTTAGAGCTAACCCATAGGGGAGACCTCTTTGCTAAATAGCTCCCAGGTACACATTCTAACCTTTTTAAATGTACAACATTTCCATTGTATGGTTGCCTCCATCTGTATGTTTTAAGCTTGAGATTTAGCTGAGTACGCTATCATCAACCCCAGTAGAAATAAAAATTAACCTCCTACCTTATAAAGTATTAGATGACTGCTGAGGTAAACCCGTGGACTTTCATAAATGAGACATGAGATTAAGGGCTGGTAGGTCACTGGGATGCTGGAGGAAGGGGACTTAGGAAAGACAGTGTAACTCACATAACTTTTGTCCCTCTTCTTCAGGGAAAAATTCATCTTGCTTTGCAGATTTTCCTGTAACTAAAGCTTTTTTGTATAATAACGGTATTATGGTACTTTTAGACCGTCACATTTATTGTAGCTATTCTTGTAACCATTTTAGGCAACTACCGGAACATGTGAAGAATCAGAAGGTATCTGGCAATAGATGCAGCCAAAGAGAGAATATGATTCAGCTTTCAGGGCAACACTAGTGAAAAGTTGTTTAGGTGAATGCTTGCAGTTTTTATTTTTTGTACTGGGGATTGAACTCAGGACCTTGAGCTTGCCAGGCTGGCAGTAGAACCACTGACCTAAGAAGTTTGCATTCTTAATGATGGTAATTTTAGAAAGTTCTTCCTGCAGTGAGTGAAAATCTGTTCCTCTCACTTCAACACAGTTATGCCCATCAAAGCCAGATGATGTCTGCTCCCTGTTACACATGAAAGCTTTTGAATTTTTCTTTCCCAAGTTAAACTCATGCTAATATGAAAATGTGCATGTCCTTGGTTTTGTTTTATTGCAGAATATTATTGCTTTTGTCAAAAATATGCTACAGTGAAGTTATTTTGACTTTAAAAATGAAAGTTTAGACACTGTTTGATAATTTTTAAGAAATGTGATTTATACATCCCACTGCAGCAACAAAACAACACATGAGATTTTAATATTACTTTGTAATTTCTAATGCTTGTAAATGCAGTTAGTTTGCTACACATTCCACAGAATTAAAGGAAACATGGGATAATCTTAACATTAATTACCTAATCCTCAAGTGTAAAAATAAATGTATATTTTGCAACAATTTTTAAATATGAATGTACAATGAAACATAGGGTCTAAAATAATGTCTATTCAACCTTTAACAACTAATTAAAATCATAAAAATGCAGTCAACATATACACATAGCTCATACGGTGCCAGTTTAATGCCTTTGCACTGACTACACAGAGCTCTCAGATGAACGATATTTATTGAACTGACAGTTCACTGCAGTCAAACAACCAAGTCATCCAGATTAATAGCAACTTTGAATGATTTTCTTTCACTGAGTTGACTGTGTTGTTGAATTGGCCAATTAGTCTGAAAAAGCATAAATAGAGCCAGCATTATTATTTGTCCTTTTTATCCATAATACTAATTCATGTAATTGATATTATATTCTATATATTCAGCCTAAAATTTTAAAAAAAGAAAATACATAAACTTGAACCAGAACTAGTCTTGAAATAAAATTAATGTTAATATGAGGTGTAACAAAAACCTGTTTTTTACCCTAAAACCGTATATTATAATAAAATATACATTGCTATTAATTCTCCTCAGAATACTGCCTCTTGGTTCAAACATACTTATCACATCATTCTTGCCATTTCCTGAAACAATTCTGGGAGTACTCTTTTGTATCTTTAGTTGGGCTGTCATGGCTTCCTGGATGTACGGAATCAATTCAAAGTATTTACCTTTCACGTATATTTTGACTTTGGGAATGAGCTAGAAATAACATGGTGACATATTCAGTGAAGTAAGTAATGAGGTAAATGAGAACACACCTTAATGATTCTACAAGCTTTTCCTTTTGTTGGATAACAAGAGCAGTAACCATAATTTGATCACACCTTGTACAGATACTCATGAATGATAACTTTCATAATTGCTTCTGAAAATGGCAAGAGTGATAAGTGTGTCCCAAGGTAGAGAGAATATTTTGAGAGGGATTAATGGCAATGTGTCTTTTTCAGTAATAATTATTTTAATTTAAACACATACCATATTTTTCAATATGCACGATCACCTTTGGTTTAGTTATAAAAACAATTAACTTCACTAAATGCTTACTTTTGGCCAGGTGCTATGGTAAGTATTTTATATATAGTCTCTCCACAAATCTCCTTCTGCAATCCTATGAAATAAAAATATATTATTGTTATTTCACAGATGGGGAAAATGAGGTCCCCAAGAAAGGCAAAGATTACTTCCTTCTTTAAGCCTTTTCTAATTTATCAAAACCACAAGTCACTTTTCTGGTCTCAAATTAAACATAGTTATAATTGTTTGCTTTAGTGACAGTGCACTTAACATATCCAGTAGAATGTGGTCACTGCCCTTTTGTAGGGTCTAGTTTCACATATCAAAGATTCATTCTCTTAATTCTTGTTTTCCTCTGAAATAAAGTGGCTTGAATATATAAAGAGCCCACTAAGTGTTTGTTAGATTAATCCCTTTATACTAGATGAATGAATCTGGAGGAGCACAAAGGTCATACTAAAACAAAAGCAATGTGTGGACAGGAATAATTGCCTGGAGAATTAAAATATAGCTGTGATGTTTCATTTGACCACCAGGTGTCAAAATTATACCAATGTTCAAATATCTTTTGCCATTTAACAGAATTTGTTTTAAAAGTCTCATTATGCAAGAAATTAAGGGAAAGGGGCCTGGAATTTAGCTCAGTGGTTCTCCCACCTGCCTCGCAAGGACTGGAGTTTGATTCCCAGTATGAAAAATAAAAGAAATTAAGTGGGGGAGCTTACTAATAAGCACCCTGTGCAACTTCAGAATCAGAATCCTTTAAAGAGTATTTTAGAGAGTTGGTTTCATTTAACTTTTTTTCAAACTCCATATTTCCTCATACAGTTCTCTAAAGACAGCTTGACTTTTAGATGCATAAGAAATTCTTGAAATATTAGCTTTTTTAAAGGTCATCAAGATCATCTGACTCAGTGACATTTTATATAAAGAAATACAAGGCCAGAAAAAACAGACAGTTTCTAAATACATGCAGAAAGTTTGTCACAAGGTTGAATCAAGGTCTCTTGTCTATCGGTACAGAGCAATTTTTACTTTTCCAGAAATTGCTAAGAAGAAAATCACATTTTTCTAGTTGTCTAATAAAATAATAATAATACAAATATTCATGAATGAACCATTGCCAGATTTTAGATCACTAATCTTGACAGTGTACTGTTACAAATATTCTTGGATAAATACATTATTTCAATTATTTCTAGTCTATTCATAAGATTGTTTAAGAAGTCTACTTAAAACATTAAATTATGCTATTTTTAATGTTCATTATTTCTATTTTTATTGAGTTTATTGGTACATTTTAAGTATACAGTACAGTTACATTCATCATTGGGATCTTGTACCTTTACATGATGGATCTTGGTCCTCATTTTTCCCTATACCCCTGCCCTCCCGTCACCCCCTCCACCCTCCCCTATTTCCAAAAAACATTCATTATTTCTTCACACAATGAGTACAGATTCATATTAGAAAACACAGCTAAGCAAAAATACGTTTATTAACATAAAATGTATATTGTATTCTGATATTCTCATGTAGTATGGTTTTATAAATGCATGCATATATATATAAAATCAGAATATCTATTGCTAAAATTTTAGTATATACCTTTCCAGACTTACTTTTTTCTCCTTATATTGATACACTAATGAATGCATATATAACTATTTTAATCAAATTTTATTTGTATACATATAGTACCTTTTTATTCATTGAGTATTATTTAGTATGGACATCATTCCATTTTAATCACATCTAAATAATAATTTTAATAGATACATAAAATTCTATCTACATAAAACTTTTAATGGATAATTAAAATACTATCAGAATTATAATCATAATTTAACGAGTAGACTTTGAGTTATAGTCTTATTTTTTTCTCTGACAAACAATAGTGAAAGCATTGGTAAACATTCTTATACATGCATTTTGGACATATGAACAAGTTTTTCCTTAGAATATGTTCTTAAAAGTTGAATAACTATGCTTTTTATGTATAATGTAAGATTACTATCCAGGAAAACATCATATATGCCAAAATTAATAATATTTCCAATAGCATCACAATATCAAATCTATGGGTATTACAAAGAAGTCTGTTGTAGAGAATTGTAACTTTCAACTTTTTAATTGCAAATAACAAATCATGCATATTTATTACATACAGATAATGTTTCGATACATTTAAACTTTGTAGAATTTTTAAATAAATAAATCTAATTAATATATTAATCACCTCATATACTTATATTTTTGTGACAAGAACATGTAAAATGTACTCTTACCTTTAGAGGTAGTTAGTCTTTCTTCCCCAAGCAGGTCTCTGTCATTCATTGCAAGGGATCCCAAAAAGATATGTCTAAAGTCTTTTTGGGAAATCAAAAGGCTAATTGGGAGGCAAGACTGGCAGCCCTACAGCCCCTCAAGATCCTAGTTTTATTCTCAGTTCCTGAGGAACCATTTTGGTCTTTCCTCAAGGGATGCAATGACAAACTATAAAAATACTACGTGGGAAGTGGTCATTAGAATTTTCTCCAGACTAAGAAGAAAGCTATTCCTAAGATCCTCTGGAAGACCTGAGGCTCCTCTTCAAAAAGCAAAACTCCAGGTAGGGGA